AATCAGACCTGTGTTTAGTTTTCCATCTTTATGTTAAATCCAAATACCTTAGAAATGCAACAAGTGCATATTTCTGTCTTGACTTTCAAACAGCATTTAATTTATTCTTTCTAGTTGTATTCTCAATTACCATTCATGTGAGGATGAATGTCCTCGTGTAGTTTTGAATATTACTATCCTGGTGTTTTAGATTAAAAAGTGGAATTTTCAGAGGCTGTATAAAAAATACTGTTGTAGAAGCAGGATAATTCAACTGCTGTTTATCATTCACATTTGTAGATATAAGATTGCACTAATATTTCCATACTAAAGGCACACAGCCATTCATTAAGGGTAGGAAAGAGTGTCTTACTGAAGTCACAGAGCAGAATCTTCTACTTTTAATTATGTTCACTTAATCTTCCCCAGTGCATTTGATGTCATAAGTAGCCTCAGATTTCTGCATCAGAACTCTTCAGGAATAGTTACATGGCTGAACTTAAAATGGTTTAGTGCTAGTGGTTGTGGCTTTGCCTCTTTCTTAAAGTGAACCAAATCGCTAGGGCAATAGAAGAAAAGACAGTTCGGGCATCTGTCAGGAAGGACATAGGAGGGCACAGAGAAAGTTATTTTCTTTCAAATTCCAGAATCATTAATGGTGTACAAGTTGAGACACTTAGGGACATCAGCAGATTATTATGGAGAGGAGAGAAAGGGCTCTGAAATCTGAAGAAAACATTTCCCAGATAGTCAAAAAAGAACAGAATTAGTTAGCTAGAAAATAAATCTTTTATTGCGAAAGTAAAGAATACACTGGATTTAGGGAACTTAAGTACGGGAGTAGTTTTAATGTGGTTTAGATCTATTTTTAAAATTTTTAATAATTATATTTCCTTAGAAAAATACATGCAAATGTGACTGATATGTACAAATAGGTATGCATAAATGCATCTAAAATTCACTGCTTGCAATATAATTACAAAGTACTACTTATGAGAACCTTACTACTAATTTTTCATACTTTGGAATGTTATATGTACTTTGAAATTGAAAGAGGAATTTCTATTGTTTTTGGAACAATGGATGCTAGCATCAGTTTGCTGCCAGAATGGATGAGAAAGAAATAGTGGGCACTGGGGAGAGAGGGGAGGCCAAATTCCCAAGGCCATAGCCCCATGAGGTGGACTAAAGCCTACAGTCCATGGGTGGGAGGGGCCCTGCACAATCTGGTGCTGCTCCAGTATATTAAAATACATGGCTATGAAGAAAGGAAGGACCTTGGAATCTTCTAGGGAAAATATGAACAGAATCAGCTGCTTTCTGTAGGACTGTATGAGCTACAAATTGATTTCAAAGTGAGTATAAAGATTGGGAAGGGCTGGGCCAATGATTGGCTATTTATAGAAGATTTCCACTAGTTTACGATTTTTAGTGTAAGATTCTATGTATGTTAGCATGTTAGTTCCACTTATGCAAATTAACTATACTGGAGGTAATAAAATTGTACTCAACACTCATCTGCTTTGTTTTTAACAGTAGAGATAGAGGATAATGTGGTGTTCAGGGTATTAAACTTGATTCTTTTTGGTTTTCTGGATGACTCTCAACCCACTGAGCTACACCAGTCAGGGTTTAAGCTTGACCCTTAATGTTAACTCTACGTGCCAAAAGTAAGTCTACCATATGTTCTCTTCTAAATTTCAAAATTATATTAAAATGTCTGTGCAAAGAAGCAGAATTATTACAATTTTTTATTTTCTCAATTAACATATTATAAACATGCCTCACCATCTATGTCCTTGTATTATTTAGTATTCACAGCATCTTAATTTGTAGTACCCTGAGTTGCATAAACATCTTCCTATTATTGAACATATTATGTATTTCTAAAGTTTTACTCTTATGAAAAGCATGCATCATCTTCAGTTACAGAACTTACACTCCCTCATTTCATCTTTAGAAAATTTTTCAGGATTGGGTTCTAAAAAAAGGAATAGAAACAGGTTTATAATCCTGGAAATATTTGTTAAAATGTTTCTGAAAGGATTACATGAAATCAAGTAGTTCGATTGCAATTTTAGAATTAATATAATTTTGCCCCTTTTTATTGAATTGATTGGGGTGACACTGGTTAACAAAATTATACAATTTTCAGGCAAACAATTCAACAACACATCATCTGTACACTGTAGTGTGTGTTTAGCACTACAAGTGTAGTTTCTGTCTGTCACCATTTATTTATCCCCCCATTCCCTCTTCCACCACACCCCCCTTTCCTCTCCCTGACGATCACCACATTGTTGTCCATGACCATGAGTGTTCTGTCTTTTCTTTTTTTTTTTTTGCTCAGTGCCCTCACTTCTCCCACCTAGCAGCCCTCTCCCTCAACAGCTGTCATCCTGTTCTTTCTATCTATGAGTCTGTCTCTATTTTGTTTGTTCATTCACTTTGTTCATTAGATTCTACATATGACTGAGATGATATGGTACTTGTCTTTCTCTGACTGGCTTACTTCACTCAGCATGATGCTCTTTGGATCCATCCATATTGTCTCAGAGGGTAAGATTTTCTTTTTTTTTACAGCCCAGAAGTATTCTCTTGTGTGAATGTATCTTTAGTGAGGGTGAGGATGTGGAGAATAGGGAACCCTGCTGCACTGTTGTTGGGAATGCAGATTGGCACAACCATTTTGGAAAACACTATGGAGTTACCTCAAAAATTAATCATGTAATTGTCTTATAACCCAGTGATTCTATTTCTGCGAATTTATCTGAAAAATCCCACAACACTGATTTGAAAGAATATATGCCCACTATGTTCATTGCTGACAAGCTGATAAATGCTGGATCATACATTGGTATCTTTTACTTTTTAACAAATGGTCATTGACTGATTCAGTGACCTTCCAGGGTTGGCTTTATACTCTTGTTTTCTTGCTGGCAATTTGTAGTTGAATATGGTGTTCACAGTGCAGCTTTTTAAAAGAATATCTAGTACCTTGGGAATATAATGGGAATGGTTATTTTAAAGTAAGCATGAAAACATATATTACCATAAACAATCATACCTTTATTGTAAAATCTTTTTGTTAGCTCTGAATGGTTTTCACAAAGATCAGGTTATTTTTCATTCTCACAGTAAGCCTCATTATTATTTTATTTACTGATTTAATAGACTGATTATATGTATATGCACACACACATTTGAGAAATAAATTTCTGTTATATGTACAGGTGAGGAACAACCATTCTTGGAAACTGATGTCTGGCTATGGAAAATAGTCAGTAGTTGGAGTAACTATCTGGAAGACTTATGGATGAGGTTGCTGTCTTGCTAAGTGAGAGAATAGTGACTAAAATTGGTGAGGGCACTTGTCATAAGCAAGTTTTGCATTTTGCCAATTTGACACCATAATCCTGTGGGATGAGCTCATAGGTTATACATGAACATACTTAGTTTGCAATAAAGTTATATAAATGATAACTTGTATAATATTAGATTGGGCCACATAGTATAAGCAATTAATAAATATTTTAAAAAGTCTCAAGACTCTAGCTATTCTGAACATACTGTTTCTATTCCTTACCTATGTGGTTGTTGCCAATTTGTATCTGTAATAATTGGACTATTACTTTCTGAATCTACATATCTTGCTCTGTGTCATTAAGGGGCCTCCTTCAAGCACAAGGAAAGGAATCAAAGACTTTGATTTCCACAGGTGTATGAAGGCAGCAGAAGGGCCAGCTCTGCTCTTTTCTCTCTAGATCCATTAAAAATACTTAAGTGTTGGAGCCAGGATTCTGTGTTTCAGTTCCAGACCCAGCATGTTATTTGACATTTTCTTTTTAAGTATGGACTGTCTTTCAGAAAAATAGGGATAATAAGATATAACATGAATTGTTTCTTAGGACTATTTCTTAAACAGCTGCTTTCTTTACATTAGTTAACTTGGTCATGCTTACAATACCCTTAAGTAGGTATTATTATTTTTCATAAACAAATTGTTCTTTTTTTAAATGATGAATGAAGAAAGAACCTAACTCAGCATGTGCATACTTATTATGTGTTAGTGCAGAGCTAGGCACTTTTCCATAGAGTTTTCCTTTTTTATAGGTAATGAATTAATTCATCTTTTTTTGTTTTGTTTTCTTAATGAACTTATTGGGGTGACAGTGGTTAATAAAATTATATAGACATCAAGTGTACAATTCTATAATACATCACCTATATATTGTATTGTGTGTTCACCATCAAAAGTCAAGACTCCTTCTATCACCATTTATTCACCCTTTAAGCTTTTCTACATACCTTCTGTGGGCACCCCCCTTCCCTCTGGTAATCACCATACTATTGTCTGTCCATGAGTTGTTTTTCTTAATCCTTTCACCTTTTTATCTAGTCCCCTAACCCACCTCCACTCTGACAGCTGTCAGTCTGCTTTCTGTATTCATCTTAAAGGCCCAATTCAGTTCAATGTTAAAAAAAATTGGATAAGTAGTGATGATTTTCAAATGACTCTTAAACTAAGGGTTATTTCTTCTTCTCTGTGTAGATAAGGTCATCTCCTGGTAAGTGGTGACATGCGAGCTACCCCATTCCCATTCCACACTAATGACAGGAATGACCAATAAATTACAAGTTCTTTGTCTTCAGTGTGGATGTGACTTCAGAACCCTCCTCAGCAATTCAGTCCAGGAAACGACTGCTAAGCAATCTACTTTGGCAGTGGAGATTAAAACTATGTCTCTTCCCTATGGTATATGAATACTTCTCCCACAGATAAGCTCTGGTCACTTTAAAGTATTGAAGAATTTATCTCCTCCTGACTTCTGCCTGACCTCCTACTACAGCCTTCAATAAATTTCTAATTTTCTCTTTTCCTTTACAACAGAAACATGTAATCAGCTTTTCACATGGATGCACCAACTGGTTGATGACTGTGATGCAATGGTATCATAAACTGGTCCCAAGTGAATTTTTCTTTTTCTCATTATTGCAGATTTTATATGCTTACACTGGCAGCATTTAGCTTTTCTTTGGAAATCATGCAAAACCAAAGCTTCGTAACTGAGTTCGTCCTCTTGGGACTTTCACAGAATCCAAACGTTCAGAAAATAGTATTTGTTATATTTTTGTTCAGCTACATGGCAACTCTTGGGGGCAACTTGCTAATTGTGGTGACCATCAGCAGCAGCCCAGCACTCCTCAGCTACCCCATGTACTTCTTCTTGGTTTTCTTGTCCTTCCTGGATGCCTGCTTTTCCACCGCCATTGCCCCAAAGATGATTGTGGACTCTCTCTCTGAGAGGAAGACCATCTCCTTTGAGGGCTGCATGACCCAGCTCTTTGCTGAACACTTCTTTGCTGGAGCAGAGGTTATTGTCCTCACAGTCATGGCCTATGACCGCTATGTGGCCATCTGCATGCCCTTGCATTACTCGTCTATCATGAACTGGAGGCTCTGTGGCATTCTGATGGGGGTGGCCTGGACAGGGGGCTTCCTGCATTCCACAATACAAATTCTCTTTGCTTTACAGCTGCCCTTCTGTGGCCCCAATGTCATCGATCATTTCATATGTGACTTGTACCCTTTACTAGAGCTGGCCTGCACTGACACTCATGTGTTTGGCCTTTTGGTGGTGGCCAACAGTGGGTTTATCTGCATCATAATCTTCTCTTTGTTGCTTGTCTCCTATGGCATCATCCTGTGCTCTCTGAGAACCCACAGTACTGCAGGGCGGTTGAAGGCTCTCTCCACTTGTGGATCTCACATTACTGTTGTGGTTTTGTTCTTTGTCCCCTGCATATTCACATATGCCCGACCTCCATCCACTTTCTCCTTTGACAAAATGGTGACAATATTTTACACCATCCTAACCCCCTTGCTCAATCCTTTGATTTACACCATCAGGAATAAGGAAGTGAAAAATGCCATGAAGAATGTGTGGAACAGAGTAATGGTAGTTTGTAATGAAAGGTGAGACTGATTCAATGGAATCTACACTCAGTGTGTGTTCTAAGACATGATGGAGCTGCTGAATGTAGTTCCTGCAATGAACGAGGACAGGGCTGATCTTTCTCCATACCTGGGTTTTCAAGAACCCTTGTCCATGATTCATAACTGCACTTTCTTTCTGGTTTGGGGGCAGTGATATTGCAGTAGGTCATAGAGACAGTAACTGAGTTTTGTGATGAAATCTTGCATCAAACTATCCTCTGTAATATTTTCATTTGCTCCCTCCCCTGTCTGTCTTTCTGTATGCTACTCTCTGAGTTTTCTTTCCTTGGTTCTGCTCACTCTCACTCTCTCCTCTCTCCTGTACTCACTTCACCCATTCTGTCCTCTTGATTCTTCAGCAATCTTATTTATTTAGGTTTCTATTTTCTGCTTGGATATTTGCTTCAACTTGCAATATACAGAACTTGATTCTGGAGTTAAACCAGAAAATTAAGGTATTAATTCATGTAATTCTTGGAGGGATCAGAATTTTTCTTTTCTAGGATCTACATGATCCTAGAAAGTCTACATGAAATGTACATGAAATGGGCTTGAAGTTTTATGTGACATGGTTGGTGAATGCTAGCGAGAGAGGCTACCTAGTAGTACTCCACTCTAATTTTAACCTAACTGTACTTGGAAAAATTTCCTTCCTTCCTTCCTCCCTTCCTTCCTTCCTTCTTTTTAATTTTTGTTCAAGTACAGTTGTCTCCATTTCCCCACAACCACTTCTCCTCACCCAGCCATCCCACTCCCCACCCTTGATCATACCCCTCTTTCGTTTTGTCCCTGAGTCCTTTGTACATGTTGATGACAACCCTTTCCTCCTCCCCCTATTATCTCCTCCCATCTCCCCTCTGGTACTGTCAGTGTGTTCTTAATTTCAATGTCTCTGATTATATTTTGATTTCTTGTTTGTTTTGTTGTTTCCCCAGTAAATGAGTGGATGAAAAAAGTATGATACATTTACATGATGGAATAGTATGCAGCAGAAGGAAAGAAAGAGTCCTACCCTTTCTGACAGCATGAATTGAACTGGAGAGCATTATGCTAAGTGAAATAAGCCAAGTGGTAAAAGAGAAATATCATATGATCTCACCTATAAGTGGGAAAAGTTTCTGTATCTCAGGTCAAAGTTTCCACATTGAAAGGACCAAGAAAATGGGCACATTTACCTTATAAAAGAATGTGCAGGTCAAATGAAATAACCTTAGTGAAAATTGTTTGAATAATAAGATTATACAACAAGAATGATATATAATCTAGGATTGTGTCATTTAATTCAATATATAGTTAATAACACACAGCAATACAGATGAAAAGGTGATAGAGGCATTTGCCCATCTTGGAAAAAAGGGGAGACTTGTGGTATCAAATATATTTGAACTGGTTTAAAATTTCAAGAGGTAAAAGTAACAATTAAAGAAGGGAAAATTACATTCTCCACTACTGTGTTCTCTCCCTGGATCAGGGAGTTAGGAAAGTGCAGGAGTGTTAGGCAACATGAATGAGTGAGTTCAGTGATAAAACCTCCGAAAGTGTTGGTCTGATCTAATGTGTACATCTTTTCAGGAGCTAAGTTCGTGTCTTATGTCCCCGAAACTTCTCTTTGCTTATTGAAAATAAAACAAAGGAGAATTATATGACCTGGCTTTCATGGTTGTCCAACATCTGTCCATAATTTTATCTCTTACAAGTTTTTGATTAACAACATCAGTTTTTAGGGAGATCATCTCTATATTTGATCTCTATTATTGATCAAAGCAATATTTGTGGTCTTTTTGATTCTTTTCCTTACAGCACTGTCAGTGAACTTTCTCATTGTAGTGACTATTAAAACAAGCCAGACCCTTGGGAATCCCATGTACTTCTTCCTGTTCTATCTGTCCTATGCTGATGCCTGCCTCTGTACAACCACAGCCCTCAGATTGATTGTGAATGCCCTTTCTCAGAAGAAGACCATTTCCTACAGTGAGTGCATGACTCAGGTCTTCACAGTCCACTTCTGTGGGTGCATGGAGATCTTTGTGCTCATCCTCATGGCCTTTGATTGCTGCATTGACATTTGCAGACCCTTGCAATACTGAATCATCATGAGCCAGCAAGTCTCTGGTGTGTTGGTGTTCTGGCCTGGGTGGGATCTTGTATCCACTCTTCAGCACAGATTTTCCTGGCTTTGCAATTGCCCTTTTGTGGGTCAACCCCAATGTGGTTGATCACTATTTTTGTGACTTGCAGCTTTTGTTGAAACTTGCCTGTGTGGACCCATATGTGATCAATTTGCTAGCTGTCTCTAATAGTGGGGCCATTTGCATGGTGAGTTTTATAATCCTGCTTATCTCCTATGTTGTCATCTTGTACTCTCTGAGAAACCCCAACATAGAAGGAAGGTGAAAAGTCCTTTCCACATGCACATCCCACTTTATTGTGGTTATTATATTTTTCTGTCCATATGTATTCATATATACATGCCCACCAACCACGTTTCCAGCAGACAAGATGGTGGCTGTATTTTACACAATTGGGACACCCTTGCTCAACCCTCTGATCTATACACTGAGGAATGCCAAGGTGAAAAATGCCATGAAAAAACTTAAGGTGTAGCAAAGTATGACTTCAGTTAATAAATACTATACAGGGACTCCAATGTATGCTTCCTTAATATCTTATTTTTTTGTTTCATGGGCAGGAAAGGTAAAATATTCTTTGGGAGAAATAAACAAGAAATCTGAGAGGATTGCATTAGAATATGGTATCACTTAAAGTCCCATAATCATTTTGAACAACCTAGGATGACCCTTGCTTAAATTCTATCAACATTTGGTCATACTCATTAGGTAATTTAGCTTCCTATACATTTTTTTCTTTGGAAAGAAAAGTACTGACAAATGACAGAATAAGTGCATGTGCTTGCATGTGTGTATACGCACCATTTTTTTCCCCTACATTTCATTCCTATAAATGCAGTCATCAGAGTTAATCCCTAGGGCATGGACACTGACAGACTCAAGGGTGCCATATAGACAAGCTGATGATTAGAAAAGATGTTCTGAGAAATTACTCCTCTGGAAATCTGTTCCTGAGCCTCCTTCACTGGGGGTGTCTACACTGATGAACCCTCCAACTCCGATAAAAACTGGAAACAGAAGTGAAAACCTACACTGTCCCTGGAAAACCTCTCAAAATTAATTCTGTGCATGGTGAGGGAGGGAGGACTGTGATATTTGGGCAAGACAGTGCTGTCAGTGAGTCAATTGCTCTTTGGGGTCTTTCCACTGCTCCTCACAAAGGAAAGGAAGAGGCAGTAGAGGGTTTGGCAGCAGAAATAAGTGAAGGTCAGGAAAGGAGGGAGGACAGAGAAACATGCATGATGAAGAGAGAGAAAAGGAGAAAGGGAAGCAGAAATCTTGTCCAGTTGGGAGAGAAAGAGCTTTATCTTTCTTATTTCCTGAGCATTACTTTTGGGTGTATGAACATTTGCAGGCAAATAATTTTCCTTGGCTCTTATGTTTATTTGGGTATCAAGAAAGAAGTTTTGTTTTTGTTGTTTGTTTCTATAGTATCTCAAAAGTCAAAATTCAGATTTTTGGAGAAGAATCTGGTATTAAAAGTGAGGCCTAGTACTTCTCAAATTTGGTCTTTTAGTTTTACAGGAGAATATTTTAAAATGTGTTTTTTCATATGGAAGACAACCTAATCCATGTGCATAATTCACATCCCCCACCAACTCCACTTCAACTTCATAATCTCATAATCAAGTACTGTCATGCCATTTCAGTACCGAGGTTTATAATTACCATCAAGTTGGCACCAGAAAGTATTACTCCTAGTCATATGGACTATTGAGAAAGAGACACAATAAACTCATAAGTATGTGAAGCATTTCCATCAGCTGAAGACAAAATATTATATTGCACCAAAGAGTCCCAATAGTTCTGGTTCAGGTAAGCAGTGGCATAATAAATATTTTAGTCCCAAATGGGACATTTTTCAGAGCTCTCAATGCCATATTCAGAAATACCTATTTAGTTTCATACTTCTTTCAAATGAAGAATTTTCCTAATTTCTTACAGTTCTGTTTTGAGAGCATTTGAATCTGGTCTTATGAAGATTATACTTAAGTGAAAATGATTCTCAAGTAACCGAGACACTCAAAATAAAACCTAAATTCTTATCTCTTGTTATTCCTTCAAATTTATTATAGAGTGAGAAAAATGTTTATTTGTGACTAAATGATAACTCAGAAAGCTTCAGGAATTTCCTTCTCATTATTAAATAATAGAGATCCCAGATCTTATATTTTAGATAAGGGCTTGATTAGAAAAGATAAGAGAAACATAATGGAATAAATAGACTAGAATCAAAGGATGAAGCACAGCTTGGTTAAAAATGTGTACATTAATATTTCCTGAAGACAAGCAAATCTACAATATCTTCTATGATGAGGTGAAACTCAGAGCTGTGACTAGTTTGTTAAAGCAACACCTTGTGGGAAGAATAATAATGAAGGTCAAAATAATAAAAGGGTTGGAGAGCTATAGAAATGACCGTGAACCAGGATGCCCCAACCTGGGCAAGGATGAGATTGTGTGGCTGTTCCTTTACTTGATTTGGAAATTGTCAAAGAATAGAATGAATGGGAGGAAAGACAGGGAAAAATGCTAAAAGAAATATCAGCCAATCCCCCCCCCAATTAATTAATTAATTAATTATGAAGTTTATTGATTTATATTTAGAGGGGAAGGGAGGGAGAAAGACGGGGAGAGAAACATCAATGTGTGGTTGCCTCTCAGGTGGTCCCCACTGGGGACCCAGCCTGCAACCCAGGCATGTGCCCTGACTGGGAATGGAAACAGCGACCTTTTAGTTTGCCCCCCATGCTCAATCCACTGAGCTACAACAGCCAGGGCAAGTTTCCCTCAAGTTTAATAAAAGCTGTATATGCATAAACCCAAGAATCTAACAAATCCCAAGCATAAAAAT